CACGCCCCTTTTTTTGGTTGTGGCTTCTGGGGGCGTGGTGAATTCTTGCTGCTTCGCGCCCCCTACCACAGCCCATCCAGCAACGACGCTCGGGCGAGCTGCATAGCTGAGGGAAGTGAAGGAGCATGGAGCTGAGGACAGGGCTGGGGAAGCCGTCGCCCCCAAACTCGCGGGGTCCTCTTGGGATCCTCGGCGAGGGAAAGGAGGATGAGGAGGAGGAGGAGAGGAGGAGAGGAGGAGGCGGAGGCGGAGGAGGAGGCGGAGGCGGAGGCGGAGGCGGAGGAGGAGGAGGAGGAGGAGGAGGAGGAGGAGGAGGAGGATTAAGAGGAGGAGGAGGAGGACGAGGGAAGAAAACGCAGGGGGAGGAAGAACATAAGGAATAAGGACAGGATGGGAGGGGAAACAAGAGACAACGACGAGGACGACGACAACGACGATTAGTTGGTGGGGCTTGGGTCCAGTCCCCTTGGGACCCAGTCCACTCTGGGCCTCTTGGGTCCTATTGAGGTTTTCTTTGGGGCCTCTTGTAGCGCTCTCAGGGCCCTTGTGGAGGGTCCTGGGAACTTTCTGGGGTCCTTTTTGAGTTGGCTTGGGAATCCTCTGGGGGCCCCTTTGAGGGCCTTTTGGGTGGACTCTTGGAGACGTCCTGTGGGGCGTCGATCAAAGTGGGGGGTCCTCGATTTCGGCCTTCCCTCAGGAGCGCTCATAAGCGCCTCTTGGGTCGCGTTCGGGGTGCTCCTGGGACGCTCTTGGGCGCTCTTAGGCTATACGGGGGCCAGATTGGGGCCTGAGGCGCCCATCGGAAGCGACACGGCCAGACGGCGCACTGCTGCTGCTTAGTTTGTTTGAGGATTTGGGCCGTCTTGGGGGTTCTGCCATGGGCTTCGGGAGCTCTTTCTTGTGGCTCTCGCCTCTTGGCGGCATTGTGGAGGCCATCTTGAATCACCCCCTCCTATCTGGAGCCATCTTGGAGGCCGTCTTGGAGCATCTTGGACCCTCATGGAGCCCTCTTGAGCGAAGAGGGAACCTCTAACTCATCTCCCTCCCCCGTCCAGTCTCCTTGGATGGTGTATGGTGGAGGGAAAACGCGTCCTCCCCAAAGGGAAGTGCGGCTTGGAAGAGAAAGTAATGAACTCGTTCGACCACCTACGCCCAGAGGGCTGCTGGCATTTAGCATAGGCCTTCGTGCATCCCTGGTCGAAGTCTGGCCAAATCTAGGCCCTAGGCCACCCCCGCGTAATCCGGCCGACCCGCCTGATGTGCGCAGTTCGTCTTAACAGCCGCTGCATCGAGCTCTGTGTTTCTTATTCTTTCCCGCGAAGACTTCCCAGCAGTTGTCTCCCCGTTGAAACATAAGCAGCCGTGTGCGCACGCACACAGGCAATCAGGGCGGCAAGCCAGCGCGCCCCCGCTCCTTTTGCTCCTCTCCTCACCTACCCTCTTCGCCCCCCCCCCCACCACACACACCGGGACGGAGAGAGGGGGGGAGGTGATAAGGGATCCTCCTCCAGGGAGGGATCCTCCTCCTTCCTCCTCGTCGTCTTCCTCCTCCCCCTCCTCCTCGTCCTCCTCCACCTCCTCCTCCCCCTCCTCCTTCTCCTCCTCCTCCTTTTCATCCCTTCTCCCACATTCGCTCCTCCCCCGGCCTCCCCTCTTCGCCCCCCCCCCCTCGAAGCCGCACGGGCGCCACGCCCGCTGCTGCGCTGCGCTGGGCCCCCTCCCCGCTGGGCCAGGGAGGAGTTTTTTCTGCGCTGCGCGGCGCGGCGCGCAGTGCTAAAGAGAAAGAGAGGATGTCGAGGCGTCCCATGTGGGATCGGAGTAGATGGGGTCGGAGGAGCACGCCGCAGTGCCGATGCATCGCCTCGCCGATGTGGCTCGGTGTGGAGCCCGCTTTGCTTTACGTCGACGTCGCCGGTGCATCGCCGATGTCGACGTTTCATCGCCAATGCACCGCCGATGTATCGGCGATGCGGCGCGATCCTCCGACCCCATCTACTCCGACTCCATCTAGGAGGCCTCTAGGCTGGCTCCGATACTGGGGGCGCGCCTAGCGGGCGACGGAGCGGGCGGCTGGGAGGCTCTAGGCGTCGGCGACGGAGCGGGCGGCTGAGAGGAGGGGTGGGGAGGGCGGGAGGAGAGGGAGGGAAGGGAGGGGGGAGGGCGGGGGGGAGGAGGAGGAGGAGGGGGAGGAGGAGGAGGAGGAGGAGGAGGAGGAGGAGGAGGAGGAGGAGGAGGAGGAGGAGGAGGAAGAAGAAGAAGAAGAAGAAGAAGAAGACCAGTGTAAACTAGAGACGCACCAACGGGTTGCAAGCCACCGTCCCTTCAAGCTCCGTTGTTCATTGCGGGAAGTGGCCCCATCAGAAGACAACCGTTTGAGAAACCTCAACCGTGCTAGTAATCCTTTTCTGGGACTTCGGCGGTGCGGGTCAACGTTCCTGTTGCGTCCTGATATGCAGTGGAGGCCCATGCCAAGAAACATCCTGCTCCCCTCCAGTGTGCCCTGGGTTTCTTGGGTTTCGATGGTTTTTTCGATGGGAAGCATGGCATTCCCACACCAAAAATGAATGGACGTCCTGGGGTCTCAGGGTTGGGTCTCTTGTCTGAGGTTTCTTTCGGACTGGCCTCCACGGTATCCTAAGTCGTGCCAGCACAGCGTGGGCCATGGGCCTCGCGGGACCTCCGCAGTCGGTGGACATGGCAGCATTCGGGCCCTTTGGGGGGTGGGCACGTGCATCGTCGCCTCGACGCCCCCGAAGGTCGGTCCCCCTGGTGGCGGCTCCTGAGACCCTCCCGCCTCACACGGGGGGAGCGGTGCGAGCGGTGAGCGGGCGCAGTGCGGGGTGCCGACGGGCGAGAGCACCCCGCTGGCCCCGCGGCCCGCCGGCGAGGAGAGGGCGAGCGAGGTTGGCGCCCTCGGGGATGGGGCCTGGCGCTGCCCTGGACCAGTGATGCGACGTCAGTCGTCGATATGTTTTTCTGTTCGTCGCCCGGGTTTTTTCGCCGTTTTCCCCATCGGGGGGCCGCCTGCGGGCCCGGGGGCCGTCGGAGGCGAGCCCGGGATGGAGGCCGAAGCCCGGGGAGGTCCCCCAGACGATGCTTCGGCACGGCTCGCAAACGTTGGCATTCTTGTTCGCGTGGGGTGTGGTGCAGGGACGAGGCAAGGGGCCTCGAGCGGTGCGAATTCAATCTGGGGTCCCTTCCTGCATGTGGGTCGTTGGCGAAAAATCCGAACCCTGGGTTTCTTCATAAGCGTGGGGGGGGTACCCCCCCGACGGGGGTCAACCTCGCCTCGTCGTCGCTCCGCGACGGGGGTCGGAGCGCCTTCGGCGCGCAGTGGCTGCCCGCGACTGGGTTCGATGTGGAGCTGTCGGCGGGGGTGACGCCCCCCCGACGCTAATAAAGAACTCGGAGTATCCGCGGCCTCTTGGGACGGGACCCCGCAGATACAGCTCGTTTTTGTTTTCGCTGAGGCCCCGCGCGGAACGTATCCGCGCGATCGCGTATTCGCGGGAGCGCGCTCCAGATTCCAGACCGCGAGGGCGCGGATCGGAGGTTGCGGGGTGAGATCGCGGTGGAACGCAGAGCCTCCCACCGGGAACTCGGCTTCGGTTTCGTGTTCGTGTCGCGCGTGCGGGCGAGGCGAAGTTGCGTTGGCACGCGAGAGGATGATCCCGCCGTCACCTGTACGATTTGAATGCAAAAGTCCGGCCCGCCGGTGGGCGCGCGGTGACTGGGGCTGTCCAGCCGTGGTGTCTCGCGGTTTCCCGATTGTGTCCCGCGGTGTCTCGCCGTTGGCGCGCGAGAGGAATGATCCTGCCGTCGCTAGGGCGATTCGGATGCAAAAATCCGGCCCTCCAGTGGGCGCGCGGTGGCTGAGGGTGTCCCGCCGCGGTGTCCCGCGTTATCCCGATTAGTGTACCGCGGTGTTCCGCCCTGGTCTCCCGATGGTGTCTTGTGGTTCTCTCGTGGTGTCCCGCAGTGTCCCGCCGTGGCGCTCCGCAGTGTCTCGTGGTGTCCAGTAGTGCCCCGCGGTGTCCCGCAGTGTACCGCCGTGGTGTCTTGATAGTGCCCCGATCGATGGTGAGATCGACAGTGAGATCGATAACGACCGATATGTGGTGAGGTCTGTAGTGAGATCCATGGTTTGATCGATAGTGAGGTCGATGTGAGGTCGGCAGTTGCATCGTCATCACGCGTCGTCGCCAGCTCGAGGGCGCGCCCTCGGCGTCGTCATCATCAGACCCATCGCAGTTGCCAGCTGTTGGTTCTTTCATCTCCCCCCCACCTCCTTAACCGCAAAGTGGGGTGGTATAGGCATTGTCGGACCGAGGTCTAGCACCGAGGTCGGTTCGGGGAGGGCACTCGAATGTTGTTTCGTGCTCGTTGGATGGATGTTCTTGTGCACCTTGGGGAGGGTGCCCCAGGATGTGCGTTTTGGCCGGCGGGGGGTCCCGTGCTGTCGAAGGATTTTCTTCCTGGCCTGGGTCCCAGTGTACGGAGATGGCCGCCGCTCGTGATACTCTTGGGGCCTTACCCCTCACTCACAGGCCACACGCCGTCCGGCGCGTGGGCAGGAACACAGTTCTCAAGCAGCGACGCGAAATGGACGGTGAAACGCTGCGCCGGCTAAGTGGATCAAGAGAAGGAGAAGGAAGAGGAGGAGGAGGAACACCAACAATACTCGGACAAATCATAATAATAAGCATACTAATACGTTTAACCAGACAAGAAGAAACAGACGAAACACATTCATGCTAACACTAATTATAACAGGAATACTAATAATAATACTAATGATACTAATAATACTAGTGATACTAATCATAATGATCATAATGATGATGATGCGAATAAAAGAGTAACACACATATTAACAGTAATAACCAGAGGAGAAGGAGGAGAAGAAGGAGGAGGAGGAGGAGGAGGGGCCCTACCCCTCAGGTCCCCATCTCCGCACCGCCGCCCCAGGGCGGCGAGGGGCCTCGAGGCGCCGCGGCCCC